GGAGATAGTTTGACTACATAGAGTACCAGTTTTAATAGTATCTGATAGAGATTCAAGGTTCACTTCAAGATTTTTGAAGTCTTTACATGGAGCCTTGGGTACCCGATTAAACTTTAGCATAACTTTTCACCCTCAGACAGATGGTCAGTCCGAGTGAACTATTCAAGTCTTAGAAGATATGCTAAGGGCATGTGTAATAGAATTCAAGGGATCTTGAGAAAAGTATTTGTCTTTGGCAGAATTTGCTTACAATAATAGTTATCAATCGACTATCAAGATGGTGTCCTATGAAGCTTTATATGGAAGAAAGTGTCGAACACCATTAAATTGGTTTGAATTGAAAGATCGAGATATAGTGGGCCCAGATCTTATCAAAGAAGTCGAAGAGAAAGTGAAGATTATTCAAGATAATCTTAAGATAGCCGTTGATCGACAGAAGTCTTACTCAGACTTGAAGAGAAAGGAAAATGAATACCAAGTAGGTGATAAAGTATTTCTTAAAGTATCACCCTAGAATAATATTTTCCATTTTAAAAGAAAAGGAAAACAAAGTCCACGATTCATTGGGCCCTATGACATCTTAAAAAGAGTTGGACCAGTAGCATATCAGTTAACATTGCCACCGGAAATAGAGAAGATCCACAATATTTTTCATGTTTCGATGCTCAAAAGATATCGATCCAATCATTTTCACATCATAGCAATGGAAGATATAGAAGTCCAATCTGATCTAACCTATGAGGAAGAACCAGTGCAGATTTTAGCACATGAAGTCAAACAACTAAGGTACAAGACGATTTCATTAGTTAAAGTTCTTTGGAGAAATCACAAAGTGGAAAAGGTGACATGGGAGCGTGAATAGGACATGAGAAGACAATTTTTTCATCTCTTTGTGCAGTGAAAATTCGAGGGAAAATTTTCTTAAAAAGGAGAATTATAATACCCCAACCATTGGTTCAGTGACTAAAATATAAGGATTTAAAATTTAGCAATTTAATTTTGATAAATTGAAATGGTCAGTGATTGATTTGAAAATTTTTGTTTAGGATTTATTATCAAATATTGAAGGATTGAAGTTTAAAATGGTCTTTTGGCATGAAATGAATTTAAAATTCATGTTATATAACATGTTGGGGAAATAGAGAAAAGGAAAAAAGAATATCTTAGAAACTCTCTTCATCTTTTCTTCTCTTCCACCATAAACTCTCATTGCTAAGGTAAGTGATTTGAGTTGGTTGTTTCTTTCATTTTTGATTTGGTTTTAATCATTGGTTGGTATAGAAACTTAAGAAAGCTTAAAGATGATTAGAAGCTATGATATTGATAAGTTAATGTTAATTTGGTAAAATGTGTTTTTTAACGGAATTGATGAAATTTGATTAGTATTTGGATTCTAAAGGCATATTTGACTTGTCAAAGGTTTGAATAAGATATTTGAAGTATTAGAAAGGATTGGAAACATGTTTGAAAAATGGGTATGATTTTTAGTTTTAAGTGTTCTAGTGAAAAATTTGGATGTAAAGGGAATTTAAGTGATGCAAATTATTTGTAATAAGTGTTATTGAGTTTAAGGGTTTGATTGGAGTTAGAAGTATGATATTTAGGTGAGTTTTGAGTAAAATTTGAAGTGAAATGAGTGCATTATGGGAAAGGGTATCAGTACTGGAAGAACATTATCGATACTATATGAATCGGATGAACAAAATCGATACTAAAGGGGTAGTATCGATACTGGGGGTATCGATTCCAATAGTATGGTACCGATACTGTAATTGAAAAGGAAATTCCAGAATGCAATATGGGTATCGATACTGAGGAAGGGACATGAAATTTTGAATTAGGTGTTTGATTTAGTTTATGTAAATTTTGATTTCGTTAACAATTATTTGAGCTCTGGTATTCATTTTGTCATGTTACTGTGTACATTTCAATCGAAAGCAAGTACCGAAACGACTCAAAGTAGTAAAGAGATTGAACGAAATTGAAAAAGGGATTTTGCTTAGGGCTTAAGTGAGGCAAAGGTGAGTGCAGCTTGCTTATTTTATATTCAATATGAGGATGGCTTACGATAGCCAACCTCAATGGTTTTCGATCGAAAACTATTTGAATTATTTTATGTTAAATTTTATTGTTTTACTTAAATTGTATTTCATAAGCATTGTTTTGATTTTGTTGCTATGAGTATATGTGTTTTATGTGAATGAATGGTAATTTGAAAAATGTTTTGTGAATACTTATATGGTTAAAGTCCAAAGTATGTGTTATGAGAAGTAGAGGTTTAATTGGCATGCCAAGAGTTGAGGGTTCTACGCAGTCATTAGGGATAATTCAACGCGATCCTTCGAGACAAATCTACATGGCACTTCGGTGCAAATTCTACGAGTGGCATTTTCGACTGCAATTACAGTGCACAACCTCAAAGTACTCATATACCTTTAGTTCTTAGTGATATGCATTGGGCTAATTAAACAAATTGACATGGATTGAAAGTGCATAAGAGTATATGTTATTTATATGAAATGTATCATGTTTCCTGTATTCAATGTTTTCTCTTAAATGTTTAATCAAGTGTTTTAATATTTTATTATGCTCATTTATGCCTCATTAAGTCAAAAACTTAGTGTGTGAGTCTTTTCACATGTATGTTCAAAGAAGACAGAAGCGTAAAACTTGGTCCGGACAACATATCTTTGGTTAAGATCATATCGATTTGAACTGTAGGTGGTTTTGTTATTTTGAAGTTTTGTTGGCATGTACTACAAATGTTTAAATCGCAAATGCTCTTATCTATTTTGTAACTATGCAAATTAAAGATTATGTAAATATATAAAATATTTGTTTTCATTGTTTAACATTAATTTTGATGTTAACTAGTGTTAATGAAGGCTTCGCCACTACAATAAAAGTAAAAAGCCAAATTTTAATCAGATTTTGAAAGAGTCAAAACATAGAAAAGTCAATATGACACCTCATATTCGTATTCGGGTTGGGTATGGGTTGGGGTGTTATATTTATTGGTATAAGAGCTAAGGTTTACCAGATTTTAAGCTCAAAACGAAGTAATTTACGTTTTAAAAAGTGTAAATGACAACGAAATATTAAAAATCTCTAATCTAATAGTGTAATGAGTATGTTGTCCTTGCTAAAATAGTTAAGTGATTATATCTTAATAGTTATCGGACTACGAGAGCTCCCAAAGTGAAGCGGGATATGGAGTAAATGAGGGTAGTATCAATTCACCTGCTCCAACTAGGCAATGTGAAGAATAGGCACCTCAATGAGTGCCTGTACAAGATTTAGGACGTTGGACGCGATTCTAAACCATTTCCAACCTTCTACTCCCCCGGCTCCTAAGATGAATGTTGCTAAGGAGCTAAAAAGTTTAGGAGCACTTGAGTTTAAGGGAGAAGTTGGGGAAGGTCATGTTTCTGCGGATCTTTGGTTAAATGATGTGAAAACTATGTTGGATGGTCTCCATTATTCTGAAATAAAGAAGCTGGATGGAGTAGTCTCATTACTACGAGGTCAAGCACGTATATGGTGGACTAATGTGAAGATGAGAGTGCCTAGTGATCAAGTGACATGGCCTTTCTTTTTGGAAGAGTTCAAGAACAAATACATTGGTAATAAGTTTATTAGACAAATAAAGCAGGAGTTCATGAATTTGAAATAAGGGAGTCGCACTGTGTATAAGTATGAGTGTGAGTTTAATAAATTGAGTAGATTTGTAGATAAATTGGTCCCGATTGAGAATGATTCATGTGATTGGTTCGTGGAGGGTTTGCGCCCCAAATTGAAGGAGTTGTTGATAGCGTTGAATCTTACTATAATTCAAGAAGTAGTGAATCGAGCTAAAGCCTTAGAGCGAGCCAGAATGAAAGATTTGGGGAGAAAAAGACCCAGTTAACCAAGAGAGCGGGTGCCTCGTCGAGTGTATTGTAATAAAAAAAAGTTGTGGTTCAGGTTTTTAATCTCAAACTAGATCTAAGTTAGCTGCATCTTCAGGTAGATGATCAAATCTTGTGAGAGCTAAGCATATGCAATCAACTGAATCAGGAGCTGGAAGGCCAAGTTAATGTCAGCATTCTGGGATTATCCATTAATGATCGGAAAGTCCACACAGTCAGAGAGATCTGCTATTGTACCTCATAAAGGTAGAGGACGAGACAGATGAAGAAATCAATCTAAATCTGCCAATCAACCTTAAATATGCTCGACTGCTCGGGTATACAACCTTAAAACTAATGAAGATTGTGATGATCCTGAGATCATTGCAAGTACTTTTCAATTAATTGATAAACTTGTTTTTGTATTGATTAACCCGAGATCAACTTATTCCTATATCGGTAGTAAACTGGTGAGAAATTTGAGAATCCAATTAAAAGTTATACGTAGTGATGTGATTGTAATTAACCCACTAGGGCATAGTACTCGGGTAAATCAAATTTGTCAAGGGTGTCCTATAAGGATTCAGGGAATTGAATTCCCTGCTAATCTAATGGAATTACCCTTTGACAAGTTCGATGTTATTTTGGGAATGGATTGGTTGTATCGTTACCATGCTAATGTTGTCTGTCGATTGAAGTGGGTAGGTTTGAGAAGTTCTGATGGATCAGAGGTAATTGGTCAGTGAGAGAATTAATTCATTATCTAATGTGATATCGGTAATTTCGACTAAGAAGCTAACATTGCAAGGATGTCAAGATTTCATTTCCAATGTGATTGATACTCGAGCTACAGAGATGAGATTGGAGGATAATCTCACGGTCAAAGAATTTCTAGATGTGTTTCCAAAGGAATTACCAGGATTACCGCCAGATAGAGAGGTTGAATTTCAAATTTAGGTAATGCTTGGAACGACACCAATTTTGATAGCTCCTTATAATGGCCCCTAAGAAACTGAGGGAATTAAAGGCTCAGTTGCAAGAGTTATTAGATAAAAGATTCATCAGACCCAATGTATCACCTATTGGGACCATCGACTTACCCCATGGAACAACAAAAACAAAATTCGACGGTCTCATCAATGATCCAAGTACGATAAATCAAAATCGGGAGGAAATTGATGTGAATACTTACAGCGGGTTCCTTGAAAAATAGCAAGGACATCAGTGGCTAATGATGGTGTCGATCAGTTCGAATCATAAGCCTCCACGAAATCACGTCTCGAGCTCTACTCATTTCACCCAATTCAGTGCAATATTTGTTTTCCCAAAACTGTTTCTAAGATAAATGAGTGAAGATTATGTGTGTTAAAAAATGGTTGCTAGACCTTACACCTCCTTTTTATCCAAGTTACCCTAATCATATTAGGGATTTTGTTATTTCAAATTAATTAAATCTTTAATTAATTAATTGGAATTAAATATTCGGGATTATTAAAACATATATATATATATATATATCAAACATACATATATTAACTCTAGATATATTTTAGTAACGTACAACAAATTATACATCTTTGCTCATTTCAATCCTAGGGTGTGACCCTGTAGGTTCTTGTAACGTTAGTAGTAATTATTAGAACAGTTCTAATATTACATACAATAAGTGACATCTAGTAATATATCATTGTCACCTAAGTTACAAGAAAATATGATTCGTCATATCATCTTGGTGATTAACTCTTTTATGTATTACATCCTTATGTCCTTTATATCTAGAATAGGCACAAGTCTTAGAATAGTCACACTTGTATAGCCCATCTATTGTTTCTTGATATCTAGAGTAGACTTTAATTAACTAATAGTTTGTGATATCTCATATCAACTTATTCGAGCATGGTCATGCGTTTCTAGTCTCACTTAATCAAGTGGCATGTCATATATTTCCTATTATGTAGGAAGGACAAATCTTATCTTAATCATACACATCCACTACATATATTGAGATATATTCAATAACAGTCTTTATGGAGCAACCAGTTACAGAGCTTGTTTAACTGCATCAAAATATACAACAATATATGTTGGGATAGTATTGATCTCAAGTATGAGGATCATACATATAGTCATCACCATGAGCAATGCTATGATTTTCACATAATAATCCAAGACATATGCTCATGGTGGGTCAATCCAATACATTGTTCTCTAACAATATAATCATGTATTAATTATGACATCTCTATGTCAATGACAACTCGTTGTCATCAATCAATAGCATGTTAGTCTTAAGCGTATTATTATTTTCCATACACATAATAATACTTGACTAGGGGTCATTTAATAATAATAATTATGTCATTATATGGACTTTATTATCTTCCATTTTATGCTAAACACATATATATAACTGAAAATAATAGCGGCAATGTATTTACTCAAGGGAGCTTCGGTGTTCTCCAAAATTGATTTGCGCTCTGGTTATCACCAGCTGAATATACAAGAATATGATATTCCAACAACGGCTTTTAGAACCCGATAGGGCCATTATGAGTTTATGGTAATGTTGTTTGGATTAACTAATGCATCGGCAGCGTTTATGGATCTTATTAATAGGGTATTTAACTATACCTCGATCAGTTCGTGGTTGTCTTCATTGATGATATTTTGGTTTATTTAAAGATGAATGAATAACATGATGCCCATCTTCGAGTGATTCTTCATACACTTCAAGATAAGAAGCTTTATGCAAAGTTGTCTAAGTGTGAGTTTTGGTTACCTGGAGTGGCATTCCTTAGACATGTAGTGTTTACAGAGGGGATTTAGGTGAATCCTCAGAAGATTAAGGCTATTATAGATTGGGAAGTTCCAAGAAATGTTTCTGAAGTACAGAAATTCTTGGGATTAGTTGGATATTATCGAAGGTTTGTAAGGGACTTTTCGATGATTTCCTCCCCATTGACAAAGTTGTTAAGGAAAGATGTGTCATTTATTTGGATGGATAAAGGCCAAGAGAGTTTTGAATCTTTAAAGAAGGTTCTAACGAAGGCTCCAGTATTAGTACAATCAGAATCAGACAAGGACTATACAATCTATAGTGACACTTCCCATAATGGCTTGGGATTTGTTTTGATGCAAGATGAAAAGGTGGTTTCCTATGCTTCGAGACAGCTTAAGCCACAGGAAAGGAATTATCCGATACAATATCTTGATTTAGCAGCAGTGGTGTTTGCAGTGAAGATATGGCGCTACTATTTATATGGTGAGCGATGTTATATTTATATGGATCACAAAAGTTTAAAATATTTGCTGACTCAAAATGAGCTAAACTTGAGGCAGAGGAGATGGATCGAGTTACTTGAAGTTTGTGATGCAATTATAGACTATTATCCAGGGAAGGCTAATGTTGTAGCTGAAGCTCTTAGCAGAAAGACTTTTGCAGCTTTACGCATGTTAGATGTCTGATTTTCTTTAAAGGACAGTGGTGCTTTGGTGGCTGAATTAAAGCTAAAACCTTTATTTTTGGAGCGAATAAAGGAGTTACAAAGTAGAAATGGAAAGTGTTTAGCAAGAATGGAACAAGTGGAAAAATGTGAAATCAAAGACTTTGAAGTAAAGTTTGATGGATGTTTATACTACAGAGATCAAATTTGTGTTCCAAGTGATGAAGAATTAAAGAAATAAATACTTTTTGAAGTGCGTTGTAGTCTGTTGACTATGCATCCATGAGGAAGCAAGATGTATCAAGATTTAAAAGGGTGATACTGGTGGTCAGGTATGAAAAGAGCTATTACAGAGTTTGTTGCAAAGTTTCTAACCTGTCAACAAGTGAAAGCTGAACATCAAGTGTCTTCAGGACTTTTACAACCGATCTCTATTCCTTAATGGAAATGGGAAAGAGTTACGATGGATTTCATAACGGGGCTACCATTAACACTGAATAAAAAGGATTCAATTTGGGTAATTGTCGATAGGTTAATGAAGAAAACATACTTCATTCCTGTTCGAACTGATTATTCAATGGATAAATGTGTTGAATTATACATCAAGGAGATAGTTCAACTACATGGAGTACTGGTTTCAATAGTATCTGACAGAGATCCAAGTTTCACTTCGAGATTTTGGAAGTCTTTACATGGAGCCTTGAGTACCCGATTGAACTTTAGCACAAATTTTCACCCTTGGAACGATGGTCAGTCCGAGCGGACTATTCAAGTCTTAGAAGATATGCTAAGGGCGTGTGTAATAGAATTCAAGGGATCTTGGGAAAAGTATTTACCTTTGGCATAATTCGCTTACAATAATAGTTATCAATCGAGTATCAAGATGGCGTCCTACGAAGCTTTATGTGGAAGAAAGTGTCGAACACCATTAAATTGGTTTGAATTGCCATATCGAGACATAGTAGGGCCAGATCTTATCAAATAAGTCGAAGAGAAAGTGAAGATTATTCAAGATAATCTTAAGATAGTCGCTGATCGACAGAAGTCTTACTCAGACTTGAAGAGAAAGGAAATTGAATATTAAGTAGGTGATAAAATATTTCTCAAAGTATCACCCTGGAAGAAGATTCTCCGTTTTGGACGCAAAGGAAAACTAAGTCCACGATTCTTTGGGCCCTATGAGATCTTAAAAATAGTTGGACTAGCATATCAGTTAGCATTGCCACCAGAAATGGAGAAGATCCATAATGTTTTTCATGTTTCGATGCTCATAAGATATCGATCAAATCCTTCTCACATCATAGCACCGGAAGAAATAGAAGTGCAATATGATCTAACCTATGAGGAAGAACCAGTGAATATTTTAGCGCATGAAGTCAAACAACTAAGGAACAAGACGATTCCGTTAGTTAAAGTTCTTTGGAGAAATCACAAAGTGGAAGATGTGACATGGGAGCGTGAAGAGAACATGAGAAGACAATTTCCTCATCTCTTTGTGGAATGAAAATTCGAGGACGAATTTTCTTAAGGGGTATAATTGTAATACCCCAGCCATCGGGTCAGTGACTAAAATGTAAGGATTTAAAATTAAGCGGTTTAGTTTTGATAAATTGAAATGTTCAATGATTGATTTGAAAATTTTTGTTTAGGATATATTATCAAATATTGAAGGGTAAAATGGTCTTTTGGCATGAAATGAATTTAAAATTCATGTTATATAACATGTGGGGGAAATAGAGAAAAGGAAAAAGGAATATCCTAGAAATTTTGTTCATATTTTCTTCTCTTCCACCGTAAACACCCATTGCTAAGGTAAGTGATTTGAAGTTGGTTGTTTCTTTTATTTTTGATTTGGTTTTGAGTCTTTGGTTGGTATTGAAGCTTAAGAAAACTTAAAGATGATTAGAAGCTATGGGATTGATAAGTTAATGTTAATTTGGTAAAATACGTTTTTAAGGGAATTGATGAAATTTGATTAGTATTTGGATTCTAAGGGCATATTTGACTTGTCAAAGGTTTGAATAAAGTATTTGAAGTATTAGAAAAATTAGAAACGTGTTTGAAGAATGGTTATGATTTTTAGTTTTAAGTGTTCAAGTGAAAAAAAATTGGATATTAAAGGGAATTTAAGTGATTTAAATTGTTTGTAATCAGTGTTATTGATTTTAAGGGTTTGATTAGAGTTAGAAGTATGAGATTTAGGTGATTTTTGAGTAAAATTCGAAGTGAAATGAGTGAATTCTGGGCAATAGTATCGGTACTGGAAATACAGTATCGATATTGTATGAATCGAATGAACAGAATCAATACTGAAAGGGTAATATCGATACTGGGGGTATCGATACCAATAGTATGGTATTGATACTATAATTGAAAAGGAAATTCAATAATACAATATGGGTATCGATACTGAGGTAGGTATCGGTACCATAGAAGGGAAGTATCGGTACCATAGAAGGGAAGTATTGGTACCATAGAAGGGAAGTATCGGTACTGGGTGTAGAGTACTGATATTATTCAACCTGAAATTTTGAATTAGGTGTTTGATTTAGTTTATGTAAATGCTGATTTGGTTAACAATTATTTGAGCTCCGATATTCATTTTGGTCATGTTAACGTGTAGATTTCAATCGATAGCAAGTACCGAACGACTCGAAGTAGTAAAGAGATTGAACGAAAGTGAAAAAGGGATTTTGCTTAGGGCTAAAATAAGGCAGAAGTGAGTGCACTTACTTATTTTTATTCGTTATGAGGATGGCTTGCGATGAGCCAACCTCAAAAGTTTTCGATCAAAAATTGTTTGAATTTTTTTATGTTAAATTTTATTGTTTTACTTAAAAAAAATTTCATAAGCATTGCTTTGATTTTGTTACTATGAGTATATGTGTTCTATGTGAATGAATGATAATTTTAAGAATGATGTGTGAATACTTATATGGTTAAATTCCAAAGTATGTGTTATGAGAATTAGAGGTATAATTGGCATGCCAAGAGTCGAGGGTTCTACATGGTCCTTCGGGACAATTCTACTCGATCCTTCAGGACAATTCTACGTGGCACTTCGGTGTAAATTCTACGTGGCAATTTCGACTGCAATTACAGTGCACAACCTCAAAGTACTCACATACCTTGAGTTCTTAGTGATATGCATTGGGCTAATTAAACAAATTGATATGGATTGAAAGTGCATAACAGTATATGTTATTTATATGAAATGTATCATGTTTTCCGTATTTAATGTTTTCTCTGAATTATTTAATCAAGTGTTTTAATATTTTATTATGCTCTCATTTGTGCCTCACTAAGTCAACGGCTTAGCGTGTGAGTGTTTTCACACGTAGGTTCAAAGAAGATAAAAGAGTAAAGCTAGGTGCAACATATCTTTGGTGAAGATCAGATCGATTTGAACAGTAGGTGGTTTTGTTATTTTGAAGTTTTGTTGGCATGGACTACAAATGTTTAAATCGCAAATGCTCTGATTTGTTTTGTAACTATACAAATTAAAGTTTATGTCAATATATAAAATATTTGTTTTCATTGTTTAACATTAATTTTGATGTTAACTAGTGTTAATTAGGGCTTCGCCACTACAATAAAAGTAAAAAGTCCATTTTTAATCAGATTTTCAAAGAGTTAAAGTGTTGAAAAGTTAATATGACACCTCATATTCGTATCCGGGTCGGGTACGGGTTGGGTGTGTTACAACTTATGGCAGCTGGAGTGACACTAGGTACCTAGCTAGCTACATACACTACCTAGCTAGCTACCTAAGATACCTAGCTAGCTAAGTGACCTAACTAGCTTCCTAAGGACCTTCCATGCGTGCAACATCAACAAGAGAGGCCATGTGCACAAAACATGCTGCTATATGCATGCTTAAGTCATGTGCACTCATTTGAATTCAAATCAGGCGCCAACTCCAAGAGGCACAACACCATTCGGCTAAAACAATAAAACCACACATCTTAGCACCAAGGATGAAGAGAAAAAAGCCTATTCGACCAAGTTTTCCCAGTTTTCCCATCTATTCATTTAGGTCGAACCATGATGTCTTTTCGGTCAAGGAGAGCATTCCATTCAATTGAATACTTACAGAACCAACACATTCCTTTTCACATTCAAGAGACTTAATTTATTAATTAAACATCATGTATTTTCATGTGAAGTGCCCTTGTCGAATCCTTATGTAATCATTTGGTCTTCCTTTTCAATTTCTATATAAAGCCAATGCATAGGCTTTTGTTAGGCATCCCTCTTTGCATATCAATATAATTTGTGAGGTTATCCTCTTTGGTTAAGTTCTTTTAAACTTTATCGGCTCATCAAGTGTCTTGTGTACTTGTGATGTAAACCCTTTCATTTCCAACTTGATACTTGTGTTTCTTGACTCATTATAATCAACGGGGCCAAATCCTTTGTTACCACCCCTTTATAAGGATTGGTGTTAGACTCTCTTATACTCTAGTTTCTTCCTTAATTGTTCAAGATATTACCTACCCTTTTCCATTGTTTACATAGCCTACCAACGCTCATTAAACATCATTTCTGCAGCCCACTCTATCATTATAAAACAACCTATATATTTCACCTTTCATTTACCACCAAACCATTCTTTTAGATCCTATCTTCTTGCAGGAGCTTGCTCCTAATCACTAGATCCACGATCAAGGGCACAAGTGCCTTATATCACTAAAGGTTTTTAGAGATTGATGTTAACAGCCATACGAGCAAACCTTCCACGTCGTCTATTATTGTTTTGAAAATCAATCTTCACTACCGAACCATTTTGATTTCTAATGGCCTTTAGAAAGTTTCATTTGTAGAGGGTGACCGAGAGACCAAGTAACCTAATATAAGCCATAAGTTTACTAAGATGAGACTGAGAAAGTTGAAAATCAGTGGACCATGATTCTACTGTCAGATAGTGTTGATAAATCGAGCAAAGTAAACGAAAGAACACAAGAATTTTAACGAGGTTCGGCAATGTGCTTACGTCCTCGGTGCCTAGGCGGCGCTAGAAAATTTTATTCAATGATAATAGGTTTAGGTTACATCTCTATTTATAATAGAAAACCCTGGTATATAATTACAAAATTAACCATGTACCGTACCGCGAGGTCACAGCCCCCGCACCCCCAACCCACATAATCGTAACCCCCTCTACAAGACTTTCTTTGTAAGGACAGTTGATGTTCGCTTCGCTCACTCCGCTCCATCCCTGTCCTCTTTACCGGTATATTTATGAGTCATACCTTACAGATAGTGTCCAAAAATGGTCCAAGGACTCTCATAGAGAACCTTGAGATAATTTATATGATCGTTGAATTTAACCAGGAAATAATCATTTTCGATGTCAATTAACTTAAGAGGATTGAGGGCTTTCAGATGTTATAGATCCGATTGTGAAGGGTGTTATAGCCAACCCACCAACCAAGAACCTTAACAACTAGAGTGAGATCCTTGCTTTTGATGGCAAGATTTTGAACACTTTCGGAGAATTCAATTTTGGAGATATTGTTAGAGACACCAAGAGTTTTTTCATCTTTAAAGAGATTGGTTCATCATCATCAACGTGTGTGTTTCTGTCATCTGGATGAGTTTCAATGTTTCTTGTCACCATATCCTTGTAAGAGATAGGTGGGTGGAGGTAGAAGAGGTGTCATCGCACTACATTAGTAAATGAGGGTTGAAGTCGGATGCTATGGGGGATCAGGTGGAGCTTCGTCTCATCAGCGTTGCTTCTTAGGGAGTCTTGGATCGATGGAGGTCAAAGAAAAGAGCCATGGTTCTCTTATTTTAGTTTTTAATAAAGTGATTTAAACCAAGCATATATCAGGTGAGCTTTTGTGGCTTTTGGATTAAAATCTTGGGACATGTAGCATCATCTGACTGAAACACATGTAATCCATTTGGTATATATGCGACAGAATTCAACAATACCTAATTGAAATAGTTGTGATAATTTGAGGATCAAAATAGAATATCTTTAAAGTTTACTCGTCAATTTATAATAGAATCATATCCTAGGGATCTTTTATACAATCAACTTATATAAAGTGATAAAATTCAAATATTCATTAAATATATTAACCTTTAAAATACAATATTGTGTATCATTGGATATGTATTGTCGGATGAAAAATATTAAGTTCCCCAAGATTGGGCGAGATTGAGATGTCTACCAATATTTACACTTATATAAGTTTAATGCCCCGACCATTTTTTTTTGAAAACGGAGTACACTTTAAAAGTTGTACTATATAAAAAATAAATACGGACATTGGAATTTTTTTTTTGAATGAAATTGTATAGATAGGACGTTGAAACATCGTATCGGAATGGGGCCATGTTACAATATTTGTATAAAAACTTTTTGGGTATACTACGTATTTAATTATTAAACTATTCATATGGTTTCTTTTTGATAATTTTGTTTTTTAAAATTATATATAAAATTATATTTTGGTTTCATTTAAACATTTATTATTAAAAAAATAATGACGATATTAACGTGTTATCATAAAATAATATTATGTCATCATTGAGAAGAAAAACCGACAACTTTATTAATCTTTTAAGGACAAATTGAAATACCTCTACACAAAAAAGAAAACATTAAAGTAGAACGGCAAGTGGATTAATGTTATGATGTAGGGTTTGGAGAGGTAGGCCTCCATCTTTGCCGACACCATCGCTTTCCTCCATTTTATTTTTAACATTTATTAAAATTAAATTAATCATGCTTAAATTAAAAATATTAATACTTATTGAATTGAATGATAAAAATGATATCTTATTTAAATTTTATAAATAAAAATAATATTCACGTAATTTTGAGAGTAGTAACCGTGGTTAAAAAAATTCTGTTTTCCCTTGATGATTTAGATTCAAGCAGCGTAATATGTACGGATGCATAAGTCTAGATTTAACTTGTTTTAAAAATAATTAAAATTTGATTTTAAATATTATTTTTTATTAATCTGGAGTAAGTATAAGACAATATTTGTTTAAAAATAACTCTTAACCATTTGACATTAAACATTCATACTCCTAACCTTTATAATACTCTTATCCGGAACCTTAAATAATAATAAAAAATTACTATTAAAATCATTTGATTCGTATATTTTACTATTAAATAAAGGGAAAACTCATAAAAAAATACATCAAAAACACTTGCATCACTTGGGTACATTGACTTGTGAAAATGATTTTTTCTTTCTTTCAAGGGGAAAAGGGTCCACCACAAACACTGATTTTTTTGTCTACTTTTTGCAAGTTACCATCACTGCCTTCTGGACTAGAGCTGTATAATCGTATATTTTCTTACCTTTTATTCTTATCAATGTTTTTGGTAAAAGAAATTTGAAAAATTATTTTATTTTCACCTAATTTATTTTTTATACGACCCACGACATCTAACTAGCCTAAGCTATTCTGTGATTAAATAAAGTATTTTTTTAAGATTTTAAATTTGAGTAGATATATTTTTAGGATATTTGTACGTTGTCAATAATCTTAACTAATACATTGAATAATTTCAATGATTAAAGGACATATTGTTATCTCTTGAGATATTGGGTTTAAACCGTTGCATTTGTAAAACGTGTAAATGTTGTCAATAATTAAAATATATATGAAATTAACTAGATTAAGTTAATTTTCAATTTGAACCGGTTAGAGAAATCGATTAAAACAAACTATCCTTTAAATTTTTATATATATTTAAAACATTATACCCAAATCCAAATATATTATCCAAAACTCAAAACTACTATTCATTTAAAGTCTAAACCCAAATTATTTAAATAAAAGCCCAAAACCAAAATATAATAATACCCAACCCAAATCTATAAACATTATATTGTTAGATTTCTAAAATTAACTTAAATTAATGTATGATTTAAAAAAAGTATTATTTATGTTTATGAAATAAGAAAGAACGAAGCATTAAGAACAACATGAAGAAGCGATTTGAGAATAAAGAGAGAGAGCTCTATGATTATTTCAATATGAGTTGTGTACAATGGTTTCTCTATACTTATAGCCATAAGTAGTATGTATAATATATAACTCTAATACCAATGGAGATTAAAGATCTAATGATAATGTATATCAAAATTTTATCTTATAGATAAAGATATATATCTACACAAATAAATATTCATAACACTCCCTTTTGATGTCTATGAAAATAATGTGTCTCGTTAAAACCTTACTAAAATGCATATGTTATGCTCTATGACATGTCAAATATTTTAAGACTCAAAATATACATACGTGGGCTTTTCAATAATTATAACATATTATTTCAATTGTAGATAATCGCAATATATTGAATATTTCATATAATAACATAGTGGACAGTTCATACCCTAAATATTTCAATTCCAACTTAACATAAATATATCATAAAAATATTATTAACCATTTACCTTATATAAATATGTAAGAAACATGTCACTAAAAATTTATCAATATAATATCATATTATTCAAGATTAACTTATCACAAGCCTTCTTTTTAACACATAAATAATAAATACACGTACAATACACCCACCTTTGTCACCTTATTAACCTACTTGAAGTAGTAAAATTAAGCTTCAATCTCGTATCTTGAGCTTGTCTTTGTCCTTAGTTTGGTCTTGACCTTACTCGAATGCTACATACATTTCAGTTACATAACACATACGATTTAAAGTACATGTTAGTACATCATCAAGTCATGAGTATATTAGGATAAAATCCTAGAAAAACTATTTCAGTGATCGATTAATATCACAATACTTCCTATACTTTACTCGAACCTTAAATTCCATAAAATTATCTTAAATCCTAAATCTCTTTCACCCAATGTTTCAAAGGTAAAATTTAGGAATTTCCACTTATTGAACCCAATTTCAACATTGTAGCTTTTTAAATGAAACATGGATGATATCGAATAACTTAAACCGTTCAGATGAATTTTTCCAAAAATTTTTCTATATATTTTGTCCACATCAAAATAAAATATTTGTATACTTTGGCCACGAATTTTCACTTTCATCTTTTTGGTCATTCTACTTTAGACTTCAACTTTTCACTTTTATCATTTTAGTTACTAACCAATTTTTTGGGTTTTACACACAAAACCACTAACCTAGTTATGAAACTAATAAAATGTCACAAAACAAGTCTATAATTGTGATGTTTTATAAATAAAAATGTCATCATTCGAATGTCTTTCGAAGCAAAATCAAGATATTTTTTTAAAGCGTGGGACTTCCAACTTTTAAGATCCTATTACGTATCATATTATACAGTTGCTAATGGACCAGCTTGAACAGATATTACAATGGCAATAAAATATTTTATGAGTGATATTTACGTAAATAGACCTTTATTTTTATTATTTTTAAGGACATCGTTTTTAATAGTTAAAAAAATCAAGAATAATACCTTTAAAAAAATGGAGCGGCTGAGCCACAAGGAAAAGAAATAGAAAAAAAGCGAAAAACCCAGCGCAAAACGAAAGAAGAGAAGCATGTTTATCATAAGCTGTCCAAGCGGAGCTTTGTCTGCTAAAAAATGTTCACTCAAATTCGCAGTTCCGATTCAAACTTCCACTTCCAATTCCTCCATCCATCGAAGGCCCAGATTCGTCCCCTCAAGAAACTCTCGAAAACCGCTTCATATCACTCTCGCCAAGGCTGAGGGAGGCCTTGACTCTGCCCCCAAACAATCTTCCCCTCCTTTCAGCAACGACGACACCGTTTTCGTGGGTCAAGAAGATGTCCCCTTGGAAGGGGTTATCCAGTTTGAAAAACCCAATTCCTCTTCTCGCGTTTCCGAATGGGGGTAAGTAATACTTTTTATTTATTATTTTATCTCTCATTCTTTTTTCTTCTTTTAATTGTTTCAATTGTTACGTAACAGTCGAGTGGCTTTGCTTTCTGGCGGGGATGTCTTAGCTTTGCTCTTGTTTTCTGCAATTGGACGATACAGTCATGGCCTCCCCATTTTTGCAATGGATACTCTACGTACAACTGACCCTTTCTTGGCTGGTATTTCTTTCCTTGAGTGTATTTCACATTTCCTTGTAATTTGAGAAAAATGAATGAAAAGGAAATTTTCATTATATAACTTTGTAGAAGTGGAATTGTGGATTGATAGGATGGTTTTTGAGTGCATACTTCCTTGGGGGCTATAGTGAGGATGGACGAGGAGCCAATGGTCTATCCAAAGCCTTTTTCGCTGCTGCCAAATCTTGGGGTTTGGGAATTCCTGTAAGTTCCCCTAATTCTTTCTTCTTTTTTTCAATTTCCATCCATTCATAGAGCTGTAAGAGTATAAGTTCATAACAATTAGAATAATTTGTTGGGTTCATTTTTAATTTTAACATTGGGAAAGGGATATTTAACTTGTGACTCTACTTTTATGAGAGGTGTGGATACATGAACTCTTCCATGATAATTTATGTTAAGGGGTCAATGTTGTGCTTTTACTTATCTCATGTTACTGCTTAGGGAGCCTTAGAATTTATATGTTTGTCATGTTGTTTTTATCTTGATGATCTAGTGAACCTTATGACATTTCGTCTTAGCCAGGGTTGTTAATCATTGTCCATCATCAAAGTATATCTAATCAAACTTTTTTTTATTGTTTGCATTCCAAGTTAGCTTAATTTGTAAATACACGGTCAACATATTGACAGGTTATAGTTTATTTGTTACTTTCAAGTTATATTTCTCCCATTTTGTACATGCCTACCTGACAAGCGGTAACTTATCTTCGTGTATTATATTCTGTTCCTGTTGTCTCTTTTGACAGTTGGGATTGATTATAAGAGCTGCTACATCAGGCCATGTTCCGCCATATACCTTTGTTTTAGTAACAATGGGAACAACTTCTGTTTTACTTATTGGATGGAGAGCACTATTAATAAGCATTTTCCCTGATGAAACAAAAAAGAAGAATGATGTATACCGGCGGGGCAGCCCATTTGAACTATTTGAGGTACGGGAACTTTTTGTGATTCAACATGTTCATGTAACAATTTTAAGCTTTATCTTATGCATGCAAGATTTTGTAAAACATCTTGTTAACTATTTTGATTCAGAAATTGATAAATAGTCTTTAAAATTAGCAATGATCTTCTATACACTGGGACATGCTTCATTTTAGAGATCTGATTTGGTGCACATCTATAAATTGCAACCTTGGAATACCCACACTTTCTAGTTCATTTTGGGTTTGAGTAAAATTTTGAACCAAAACAAAGGATTTCTTTTACCTGAAAAGAAAAGAAATCTTAAAATTCATACTGACCTGAAAAAATTACACCATTTTGTGCATTGTCTTTAATGTTTTCAGATCCTGTTATCTAAATTTCAAGGATGTACTCTTTCTGTATGGTCTTGAGTGGAATAGTTTGATAAGTTAAAGTTATTGCATGTGCCTTTTGAGTTGGTTGTAGTCCTCTCCTCATACACTGAGAAACACATTCTTAATGGAGATGTGATTAATTTTTTTTTTTGTTGCAGTTGCTCACATCATTGGTACGAAGATGGTAATATACATCTTCCATGAGGTCGATCCCGTAAGTCATCAATTTTTAAAATTTTCATTTATACCTGTACGAATTCGATGTAGTTCCAAACTTCAGTGTTGTAGCATGTTGATACAATTCGTGAATATTATCTTTGTGTGGTAATTAGCATTAGTAATTATAATGATCCTTTTTATCAAAGGAGGCTGTAGTCTGTACTGCATTTGTATCATCATTTTTGAATTGCTTTTTCTTTTAAAATGAATCTTCCCAACCCCACAGTTAGCAGGCAGTAAAACTAAGTAGTAAGTAGGATGATAATTCTATTATTCTTTATCATGAGAGTATTAGATAATATTATTGCTGTTTATCATTATAGTTTAGCTCATTAAAGAGAGACTGAGACTTGAGACCCAGATCCCATTTAGGGTTTTGATGAATAATCTGCTAAACCTTTATTTTATCATAAGTTTACTTGAATAGAGATTACAATAATTAAAGAAAGTAAATAAAGTCCTATCAAACCATTTTTATTATAAGAGTCCTAAAACAATTAACTTCTCCTAATAATAAAACTACTTATATTGAAACTCCTACCTAAATGATCCTAAGAATAATAAGATTACTTCTTTTATAAGAGAGAACCATGGATGAATACAAGTGCCCTCTTTCTGCTCAATTTTGAACCACAAATGACACGATTGGAAAGCCACATGTAATTTGATTTTGGTGCAATAGGCCTTCAATTAGACTCTTTAATTCTTAATTCATAGGGGAAGTGTGATAATTGGTGTAATTACGTGCGTAACTGCACTCTTCAATTTTACAATTAATATTATTTTAAAATTTATTATATAACTGTGTGATTACAATTTACAGTGCCAAAAAAATAGAGAATTGTAATCTAATCCTATTCTATTAGTCAATATGTCTATGGAATTAGAGAATTCCTTGTGATTATAATCGGTTGTAATTACTAGGATAATAATTACATTTTGTATGTAGTTACACTCTGGTGTCCAAACGCACCCAAGTGTAAAATGTAAAAAAAATCTCTTTTCCCCTTATTTTACTTGTGCAATGCTGATGTATCAACCCCTAGAAGTGTTAAGATGTTTTTCATCCTCTTTTTTTCTATATACTTCTCCAATAGAACCTTATTTTTACTGCAAAATGCTTTACAGTGAGAAAGTGGCAGATCTATAAATTTAAAAAGAGTCTAAAATTTTAATATATATATATTTTTTAAAAAAAATTGGGTATGCAAATTTCTTTATATGATTCTCCTCCTTTTAGTATATTAAACTATTTTTTACAATTTTACTAAAATAACGAAGAAGCATTTGTTCCCCTACGGGCTTAGAGCATTCGACCCTGCAGCGAGATACTAAAATTGGTTTCCGGCTTTAATAACCTTTTAGTAATGCTGATGCTGGTAAAGCTGTCCAAGAATGTTTATCTGATTCTTATGCTTATATGCATTATATTATAGAATATGCACTGAAAATCTGCGTATTGGCCTAAGTTTAGTGCCTGCATTGCTGGATGTATGGAGGTGACTTTTTTCGTGACCACTTTGACTGTCTTGTTTCTTAATGGCTGAAAACCTTAAGCCTCTAAGGATATTGTTGGAGGGTTGTGTCTTTTGTTTAATGTTTGGAGGATAACAATGATAAACATAAATAAAATCCTGCTGAATTGATTGAAAACTAAGAGTAAAAAATTACCGTTGCTTGCATGAGAAAAAGATGAAGTATCCACCAAAGTGTTTGAAAAGGATATACTTGAGCAAATTGGCAACTTGATGGATTTGACAAGGCCTTTTCAGGCAGCAAAAATAGGCGATTTGGGGTTGGATGGAGCTCAATTCATCGGCTGTGGTAAATACAACAGAGGAGCCAGTGAGTAGATTTATAGTATCTATAGATAAGCCGTCACACTGAAAAGACCATCTTATTGGGTATTTTGCTTCAGGAGGCGTCCCATCAGCCTCAAGTCTATGTTATACAAAACCAAAACAGCTTGTTTTTTTCTTCTCTCTGTTTAGGACTAGGCAACTGGTGGCTCAGCCCCACTCCCTCTTTGGGTCTTTCTATTTGACCATCATTCATTTCTTGATGTCTCATCTGGTTAACCCATCACCTTATCACGTCAGCATTCGGTGTTATGACCCTCTTGCAGTTGCCATCCACTTAATTACACTGTTCTTAAGTTGTTTTGTTCTTAATCCAGGTTAAAGGGCAAAATTGCCCGGATAATGAGGTGAGAAAAATATTTTTTCCACATGATATCCATGGAATTATTTTCTTAAGGTGTTTCGAACAGTAATCTTGGAAGACTTTGGGTACACACTGTCTTCGGCAAGATGCAGAGATCACAACGTGTCTTCAATTTTCCCGGGAAAGACCTATGGATGAGTCAAAAGCAAAAGCATGCAGAGTGTATGGAGAAGACACATTATGGTCCATGCATCTCTCAAAAAAGTTAAAGACGCATTGCGTTCGTGTCTCTCAAGTGACATTATAGTAATTATTTTATTTTAACAAATAATTTTGCCAGATTAAAGAGATAAAAGGGTGGTCAATCCAAAATCCATTAGCAACAAATGTTGGAAAATATAAAGGGGGTGAAAAACCGAAAGTAATGGACAAAAGATAGAGCTCTTAGCTTTAATTGACCATTAACTATGATCACGTGAAGAAGTTCTGAAATACCAATAATGGATGCTTTCCTTTTCTTCATATTCCTTGCATGTCAAAAAACATGTTTGGTCTTAAAAATCCAGCATTACTACAAAAAGAAACACCCTTCATAGCTTTTCTACCATTAACAAGCATAAGAGACTAAAGAAAATTGGGCGACATTTTAATTTTTTTTATATGGATTGCTTCATTACTTTTTTTTAATATTTAGGTGATTACAATATAGTATTTGTTAGAATATTTTTTAATCATTAATAACACATACACATGTTGTATAAATAATTGCTTATATTCATGATTTTTAAGGAAAACAACACTCTTTTTTATCACTAATACATCTTTGCCTAAATTACTTGAGAAAAAGACATCCATTTAATATTTTGTCATACTTGTGTTGAGTGACAGTATTATACGCGTTTTAAGAATCATATATTATTATATCGTATCAAAGATTTTAATCAATTGTATACGTTTAATAAAAATTAAAGAACATTTAAGGCGCATGTGGGACTTGTAAGGTATGTTGAAAAGGGGGAGAGATGGTGTGACATAAGGCAGAAATTACTGGTGAAAAAGGAAGCCCCACAACCCCCATCCACGAGTCTTTATTTCTCTTGTTTTTAGCTTTGAATTCTTCCATGCCAAAAGTAATTGATTTTTTTCTCATTGTTTTGTGAATTAATAGAGCATAGAAGGATGTCTTAGGATGTGGTTTGTTTCATTGATAGGGGATTTAAAGGATGAGACCTCTTTTTGTTTGTTTAGATAAAATCTTAGGTTGGCAAAAGAATACTGTTGTAGTGCATCAATGCTAAGCTGTCTCTTATCTCAAAAACCTCTCAGGAGGAAACAATGAAAGAGAGACAGAAAATCTAAGTTGATTATGACATGACATTTGGATTTAGATTTTAGGGTAAAAGATTTTAGGATAAAATACATAAATAATCTTATGACTACCAAATTATATTTTGTTGAGTTTTATTATTATTAAAAGTTATAAAATGATTTATTGACTATTAAATGTTATTTTGTTGGGTCGTCTGACTATTAAAAATTATGAATTGATCATCTGACTATTCATATGTTCCAATTCATTCTTTTTTTTCTGCTAAAAGAACGATGTAAGTTTGAGTTAGATATTAATCTGCTTACTGAGATATGATAAAATCTGATCTTAGAATCTCAAATAACTATACAACTCTAATGGTTTTAGGATCAGATTTTACCATATCTCAATTAACAGGTTAACATCCAACTTAGACGATCTTCGGTTTTTAACGAAAAATGATGAGTTTGGAACATATAAATAGTCAAATAAATATTTTATAACTTTTAATAATCAATGGACTCAACAAAACAACACCTATAATCGATGATCATTTTGTAATTTTTAGTAGTCGAGTGACTCAATTAAATAGTACATTATACTCATGAGATTATTTGTATATTTTACCCTCGATCTTAATATTTTACCACTGTTTTAAAGGAGGATAACCTAGTGACAAATAGAAAAACGTATGGAAGGTAAGAATTAAAATAAATTTGGATGGTAAATTAACATTGTTATTTATATTAGTTTATTTACTTTTTATTTAAAATTTTAAAAATATATTTATTTGAATAATATAAGATGATTACAAGGTAATATATATTCAAAAAAATTCTTAATTTTTGATATATACACATCCTACAAATATAATTGTTCAAACTCAAAACCTCAAAGTATAACAACACTCTCCTAAGAATCTGTAGACACCCGTTTTGTCCGGGATACTATCATTATTATTATTATATTATTATTTTATTATTAATAATAATGTTAAAGTTGTTTATGTTATCATTTTGCAGGCCAAGGTACGCCAAGCACAATTCAGGTCCCAAATTACAAACAGTGCACGACAGCCATGGAAATTGCCAATTTTGAACATGTTCTAAGCATCTTCGGTTTCTGATGTCTTCGTAACAGTTATTCAATCATCTCTTAGCTTTCCAACGTACTTTGAACCGCATCAATCCGATATTTGGAGCTCGAGATATGGTTAAATTAATGAAGACAGTGCAAGCTGGAAATTGTCCAGTGGGCAGATCACGACATTCAGATGTATCTCCAATTTTGAACATGTTCCAAACATATTTGGATGTTGAAGTCTTCTTAACAATTATTCCATTATCTCTTAGATTTCCAACGCACTTGAATCGCATCAATCCGATATCGATAGCTCGAGATACGCTCAGAGAGATAAAGACTGTGCAAGCTGAATACGGGATTTACGAATTTCAACAAAAAAATTGTTTTTACTTTGCACAATATACACGTTGGGAACAGATTTTTTATGAACATGGAGACATATACACGTTGGAAAAACATGTTTCAGCTAGGAGACAGCACTCACCAGCACATGTGGCCGCACAGTACCTCACGCCAGCCCACACCATGTTTTTCTGCACTAGCAGTCTATTAATGGA